ACTTTGCTGTTCCGATGAGCATGAACGGTATACGAGTGGAGCGACTGAGCGGAGCGCACACATAGAGCGGGATAATACGCAGAGCGTCACACCACGTGAAAGTGAAACCTGAGCGGTGAACTCATTTTCGGCAGCCGAAATTTTGGTGCATCTCTAATTATTGGCGACATCAGAAATGGATATTATATAATAGATACTTTTTTGAACATTTTAGCAATTTAAAAATATTAAAAAGGATTTTTTACACGGCACCCCTGCTCTCGACAGACGGCACCCCGGTTGGGAAACACTGCTCTAGACGATGATTTATGTTTAATGTAAGACTCATCACCCTTCATCCTCTTATCAGGAGTCTGGATGAGATCCACAAAAACTGCCATCATTCCTACTCTCCCTCTTGCTACCATGACTCCCACCAGGAACATCGCTCTGGAGATTCTGACTATGAATATTCAGAGGACAGGTATTGCTATTTTAGTGCTCCAAATGCATATATAAAAATGCGTGTGTTTGTGGAAAGCACTGCAGCACTTTACATAATTGTGTGCTTTAGCTATATTGAAACTGTTTTTATTCACACCTGGATCTTTTTACTATTCATGATAAATAGCATCAGGAACGTTTGATGTTTTAGAAACAGAATTTGATGTGATTTTCATATTGTGTCAACAAAATGTTTTATGCTGTTGCTCTACTAAATACTAATACTACTAATATGACTAACAGTCATAGTTTTTAGTTCATTCCCATTAATAATAGTACAAATATTGCTAAATACATGTCTATCATTTTCTATACATATTCCGGTTTTTTTTTCTTTCTTTCTTTTTCCTCACCATCCTTTTACTTTTCTTTTATGTTTGGTTGTCAAACTGTCAATGTGTCACCATCACCATGGCAACCTTAGCGAGGTCCTGGAGATGAACAGATCAATCCGAGGTGGGAGTGCTGAGTGCCTGCATACAAACAGGTAAAAAAAAGAGCTGTGAATGAGCTGCCACTTTGAGTTACCTGTATCCCAGAATGCCTTGTTTTCTATGTTTCTTGACAATTTTAGAGCATACAAAACTTATGGCGATAAATATAATAGGAGAATTTAGACCAAGACTTTTTTATTTTGTGCCTGATTCAAGCATCTTTTGAGTTCATTTTCCTTTTAAGAATTTACATGAAATCTCTATTTACAGTCATTTTTTCATCCGTTGTCTATACCTGCCATGTTAAACAATTGAAAAGATTTTTTGTGTTTGCTTATGATTTTCTTTTCTTTCTTTTCTTTTTTTTTGCTCTTTTTGATGCCTGCTTGTTTGTGCTAATGTAATTAGGAAATTAGCTAGGCACTGTAACACACTTCCCCCAAAGATGCCCTTGTTAGTGAATGGTATACATAAAGAAATGTACAGGTAAGCTAGTTGAAATTGCCTGAGTATCATTGTTGTGCTTGAGCAGATTCCCATACTGTTAGTGAAAACTTTCAGACCCTTGCAGTAAATTTAAATGTTCCTCTGCTTAGTATGATTTGTGTGCTGTTTCAGTCATTACAGACATTGTTTCCCCTCCCTTTCTTTGTGTTGTATCTCTGTACTGTAGTTTACAATGTTTTCCCTTAAAAGCAATTGTGTTTGTAGTAATATAATATGCATATTATAATTGTCCACCAACCACCAGTCTGCAAAATTGCTGTTGCTTTGTTAATAAATGCATACTAATATTTTTAACCAAAATTCAGTATAATCAAATATCAATATATATTTAAGTAAAACACCACAGTTCAAGTGAGCAGAAGATGCAATATATCACAATTTGGAATAAATATACACTAAAGATAAAGAATCAAACTGTTATGTTATCATGGCCCAAATATCAATAAAATATTATATCACCAGGTCCCTGCTGATTCCAATCCTAGTGTTCAGTTTTTAGATTATAAGATACTTAATTATAAAGTTTGCATTGAGTGTATGCTTTAATCTGGTTTAAGATAAGCTTGGCATGAAAATTCAGTGACCACAAATGAGCTAAATTGGAGGAATTACTCTTATTAGCATTCATTAACATATATCAAACATCAAGTAATTAGTGAGGGTTTTGATGTCATTGGTCTATAAACAACATATATTGTTTCTCTAGACACAACTGAAGCATTTTTAGTAATATGCATTTATCTACATTTTGAAATAACAGAGTAATTTAAAATAACACATGCACTTGTTTTACACATTTCAAGTATTAACACATTAAACAATTTTTTCTCCTTACGCTTTCTCTCATCTAATCATCAGCAATATTAAAACTGCCAACAAGTATTAATTCTAAAATATTTAATTCACCCAATTCATTCAAACCGGCTGATTCATTCATGAAGGAAGTAAGTAACCACTGTCTTTATGAAAGGGTCATTGAATCATTGATTCACCCGATTTGTTCAAAAATGCTGAATCATTCATGAACGAAACACTGTGTGTTGCTGGAAGATTCAACTGTTCTGCTTTGTTTGGAACTAAAACTGTCAAAAACAGTCAAAATTAACATAGCTGTCTCTAAAAATGTTCTCTTAATATAATTGACTCGTTGTTTATTGAACTATTAAATAAGTAAATATATGACATTTGCAATCGTGTTGATATTCAGGCAAAATAGCACTTTTACGCGTGATATTGTTTAACTTTATTATGTTAGTATAAACACAGAAAACAATAGCTTACACATTCTGTCCTGTATTTAAGGGGGATTGGAGCTGCAACTCTTCAGTATGATATTCAGATTAATTGAATTTTACAGCTGCTATTTATGTCAGTAATATCACAGATATTATATCACAGATTCATTTTAGCATTTAATTCAGTCATCAGAGTCTTGAGACATACATAGCTGCAGACACACGTGTACACAACAGCATGACACCTTATGCTGTTTCTTATTTTCCTGTAAAGAACCCGAGAGTGTCCCTTATTGTCCTCTTCTGAAGTTGGCAACCCCAATCACAGAGATGGCTTCTAGATCTAGATATTAAACTGAGAGCATTAGTAATTTCCTTTCTTATGACGTTCACATATGTAAAGCCCCTCTCTTCTTTTGCTTCATTTTTTTAGTTGATTTTTACTTTCTTTTTATGTCTGTTATGCATGCTTTTGTTTATTTCTTTGTTTCTTCCCATGCTAAGCTCTACCCTCCCTGCATGCTTAAAGAACAAACCGTCCCGGCGAACAGAGAGGGATGGCGTTATCCCTCTTAGTGCCATTCCACAGCGTGTTCTCAGGTTCACAGATGAGGTCAGCTCTGGGTAAGGCGCCCGAAATCCAAACCAGATAACAATCAATAGCAAGTGAGAAGGAGCAGTGAGCAATTAAAATCTTGTGTGTTGTCCTGGAAAAGCCACAAGTATATATGCCTGAGAAATCAAAGCAGCAAACAACTATTACAATTATAATATGCCTTATCTGTATAATACTGATGGCACCCCCTCCCCTATTACTATGTTAATAGTCTGAGAATTAAAAAAAAAAAGTAATATAAAGTACACTGCAAAAAGTGGTTACTTTAAAGAGATATTTCTACATGATATTCTACATGACCCATATAAAGTAGTTTTGTTGGTATAAGTTAAGGTATTTAGGTTGATTCAGCGATATTATATAATATTTGTTACTTTAACCAGTTAATTTTGATGTAGCCATTTTTAGGTTACCATTTTTTTCCAGTGTAATATTTATGTTAGTAGAGGAAGAGAACAGAACATTTGCAAACGGTCCTATCTGTCTTTTTAAAATGAAACAATAAACCCTTTACACTCATTTTATGATTTTAAGGGTTTCAAGTGCAAGTACCTTCAAAACACACTGCAAAACGATTGATCTGTTCAGTGGCTAAAGGACACACTGACCCTACTGTTACTGTACCATGTTGGTTAATAATGTATATATTCATTATGATTAATACTGTACTTTCTTTCTTTCTTTCTTTCTTTCTTTCTTTCCTTCCTTCCTTCCTTCCTTCCTTCCTTCCGTCTTTCCTTCCAGTGATCTTCAGCCTTCATTAGACAGAATAAGAAGTGCCAGCACGACTTGTTTGAGACCAGAGTCAAACTTCCACTCACCAGAAAGAGAAAGGTATGTGAAAACAAAAGGAAATCAGTACCTACAAGTACACTATTCGTACTCCACAGCCAAACTGTGCCAGGATGTAGTGTCTATGCAACGTTTCAAAAGTGTGGTGTCAAACAGTTAAGACTGATGAAAGTTCAGATTTGCATTTTAAAATATATTACAATTGAAAACTAATACATACATTTATTTAATACACGAGTTTCATAAGTGTTTTCACCATCCTTTTCTGTAACTGTTTCAAAGAAACAAGTCAAAGAAGCACCACCTGGCCTTGAACTCCATAATGTCTTTCCATTTAGCTTCCTACATTCCTCCTTTTGTTTTTGTTTTTCCCACTCTGTTTGTTTTCTGGATTAGTCATTTTCCATCTCACAGGCATTCTGGCAATTTGGATAGGCCAAGCTGTCAGATAGCTAACAAGAAAACCATTGATGGCGGCAGGTGAGATCTCATCATAACCCTTTAAACATCTCTTTATCACTTATCTGTATTTGTTTTCTATGTCAATTTATTCTTATTCACTATTTTTACCTTTGTTTGTTATTGGTTTACCCATTTCAGATGTCTGAGTTTTTGTTATTTCATTACATATTATCTTTTTGCCCTTGCCCTTTTCTGCTATGGCTGTGTTTAGACTCCAGCCCACCTCTATCCTCAGGGGTGGCAGGAGGAGGAGAGAGCCTCCCCTCAGGCCCTTTGGCCAGACCAACTTAGGGGGTTCCTGCCCTAACTCCCCACGAGCTGACAGGTGCATGCTGGGAGCCCCTCACAGCTTGGCTGTACCTGTACCTGCTTTATTTTGCGAACTACTGCTTACTGTGATGTCCTAATCGTAAAAAGTCGACAATAAAAAATGACTAATTTCACCTCCAAATCTCAAATCTGCTTTCTTGTGCTTCTGTAATCACAGTACATAATGTAGTACAATTAAATACAATATTTTAATAACATTTTAAAATTGTTCATCTAATGCAAAGTAGTAATCAGTCCATTTTTCTACTTTCCTACAAAATCTCTCTCTTCCCAGAGAACTTCCGCATGGTGGACATTATTCCCCGGCAGGAACCACGTCATTAGGGCACAGGGGCAGACAGCTACCACAGCTCCCTGCAAAGAGCAGCAGTATAGAGCAAGGTAAGCAATTCATTCTCTCTCTCTCTCTCTTTCTAAATACTCACAAAATCAGATAGCAGTAATCTGGAATGCTGGTACCATCCAAATTCACACCCAAAACCCATCAATCTCCAGTGCCAGTTGCCTTTATAAATGCCATATAATATCATGGCTCCTGTATCCGTAGCCTTTTTTTCCATGTGGTCAACAAGTTGTTGATCTTTCTACCTTACTCCTTTCTGTCTCTTCTCATGCCATTTCTCATTCCTTCAACCCCATCTTAATGAAGACCATGTCAACAGTAAACCTGAGGAGAAACCTAACTCAGGTATCTCATTCCATTCTCTGCATTTTGCCCTAGAATTGATCACATGCTTGTCCAAAACTCCACAATATTTGGAACATATAGTAACTCAACCAAGTTGGTTATTTGCTTGTCAACCAGCCATTTTGTTCCAAAAACAGGCTGACCATCTTTAGATGGTTTGTTCTTGGTCAAAGATGATTTGCCTGCGTGAACCAACTAATGAACCGTTTGGACCTGTTAGAAACCAGTTACTATTGTTCCAAAATGTAGATGCTACAGGCAAAACCATGGTTGATTTTGTGATTTTGGGCTTTATTTGCTTCCATAACATGTCTTCTTTCAGACTAGTGGAAAGAAAACATCCAATATACATCTATATATACATTTAAGTGTTTATTTTATTATCTGTTTGCATTTGTAGATTTCAATTACAATACATCATCTTAAAAAAGCAGCATTTACATACATATTTGAATCTATATTCCTAAGGTTTTTACAAAGGGATTTGCTCATATAACATTCACTTGATTTATATAACATTTTATTCCTAAAAACATGATTTTTTTTTTTCTTTTCAGTATTTTCTGATTTATAGAAATCCAAAATCACTTTAATATGTCAACAAATTCAAACAGGAATTTTGTACCTGGCTTTATCCAGTGTGCAGATTTTCTATTCTGGAAAATATGCAAATATGCACATAATGCCCATTTACATATTTGAACTTTTAATAAAACTTGTAATAAAAAACAATTGTTCTGTAATCAGTCAACTGGAGAAGTATGTTGATAATCCATTTTTTTTATCCTATTCACCTGTAACTGTCACCCCCCATTTTTTTAAATAGGCATGAACGTGCATTATCCAAACTTAAATTATTGTAATTTATGAACACTTTGGAATACAGACCTAAGGTTGGTCTCTTTTTAAAGATTTTTCAAAAGTGGACTTTTTTCAAAACATTCAAGTATCAAAAAGTTATAGAAGTTTAAATGTTCTGTAAAGAAAATGCACTAATAATTTTATTATATTTTATATATAATAAATATTTTACAAAACAGGTTTTACTCTAAAATTGGTATAAAATTAAAGCCTTATGTCTCAGTAAGTTATGGTCAAAATTTGATGTTGATATACCGGGTGCCATCCAAACTCCATTGAATTTTTTAAATGCATTTTTTCTGTCAGAAATGTCTAGATTTCTCTGTCAGTATTACTTCTATTCAAAATAACCACCAAATATGGAATCCTGAGACTCAGACCTTTCCAATTATATTTTTTTTGTCAAGATTATAAAAAGGTTTGATTCTAAAAGACCGTAATGCATTTTGTAATATGACAGTTGACACCACCGCTAAGGGGGAGGAGACCACCAAAAGATTTTAAAGTACCATTTCCATGGTAACGCAATGTCTGATTTCAAAATGGTTTTCACAGGATGAATCTTGATGGTGAATTTAAAATTATATATAATTTATGCTGATTACTTAAAGATTTGATAGAGAAAAAGGACAACAAAAAAGAGCACCAAGCGTCCCACAGGCTTAACGGTGACAGTTAAGGGGTTGGATTTTCAAGCAGAGAAGACTTAACATTCATTTCCACCAAAAGTAACATTGCAGCAAAAAATACTGTTTGTTCACAGGCAGAGATGTCGACTGTTGTCCAAATGTTCTTATTTCATTTTTAATTAACACTGTTTTTGTGCTACTTTAAATGAGATTGCTTTGTCCCCTCTTCCATTTTTCTGCTTTTTTCCCCTTTCTGTCTTGATGCAGCTCTAGCAGTGGAAGAGCGGGCTCGTCAGTTGCAAATGAGAGTACATTCCCATCGGCCGGCCTCTTATGCCAGCTCTGGTCCCGACCCAGAGGCAGAGCTCAAAAACAGGAGAGATGTGAGTGTAAAACGGCTTTTTAGGCCTCCAACTCATGTGTCTGGCAGTGCTGTTATGTATGGCAGGTCGCTAATTCTTTTTTCATTGATGGTTTAGATGTATAAGGATCAGAGGAGTAGTTGTGATAACATGTCTGCAAGGTCATCAGACAGTGACATAAGCGATGCATCAGCCATCTCCCATGCCAGCAGTGCCTCACGACTGAGTGCCACCAGCTACATGTCCATTCAGTCTGAGAGACCACATGGGAGAATCAGGTTAGCCTATTAAGAAACACACGGGATCCAAATGTAACACTCCGCAAGTGTGATAAACTGTTTAAAAATAGGATAACTATAAATTGATAGTGGCCGTTAACTTTATTAAAAAATGCAACATAATACAAGGTCTAAAAAATGATAGTGTGATATTAAATATTAACGCTGATATTAACAACACAAGCTACACAAATCAGACATATAAACTTTTGTTTGTCTCTTTTTATTTTTAAATCAATATGATACAAGATTATCCTATTAAAGTCAATGTGATAAAAGTAATTAAAAAGTAGTTACCTTAAATTAACAATGTAATAGATGACTACAAGTTGTTTGTTTGTTTATTTATATATTTATTTGACAATTGGGGTTAAAAATTTGGATTGAATTTATACCCTACACACCCACTAGGTATATTCAGCCTAAGTCCGTGAAGATAAGACTTAGGTCAGAATTCACACATACTTAATATGTGTATAGGACATGACAGTAAACGTTTTTGTACTTTTTACTCTTTCTCTCTCTTTAGCGCTCTGCTATTTTTCCTTTCTCTGAAAAAAAAATCATATTCTGTTCCATCACCTCAAAATTACATCAATGTTCACTTGCAATGCTTATTTATCTCCCTCTACAACAATCATAATATTTCTCCCTAGTAAAAATTTTTCATTATTCTATACAAAGCAGCAATTATTCAATTCAGGTCACAAAAAACTTATGTGTGTCCTCAGGTTGTGATATTTCTTTTTTGTTATTAGTGGTGTGTTGACATTTGCATGCTCTTAACTGTCTGTCTTCTGCATGGCTTGTGACATTTTTATTTTCTGCATGATTTACTTTTCTTGCTATTACGGCTTGTGCTCTATTGCATGCATGCATATTGCATTGGGGGTCAAAGGTCGAAGTCGTTGGAGAGTTGTAAAGGAGATGAAAAGAAGGAGAGAAGGATTTCATGGGGGGTGAATGGAACAGACAACAGGAGGAGTCTGGGAAAGAGACGTTTCTCTGAGGAGCTTAAACGCAGGCGTCATACGGTGGCTGGAGATGTGAGGTAACAGGGACCAGCTCCCCCTGCCCAAGTCTTCACCTTAACCACCACCGAATAAACGTTTTTCCTTACCTTATTGTCTTACTTCTGCTGATAGCGCTGGTTATTTACATACACTTTCTGCATTGTTTTACCATCTAATTTGCTAAAAGAACTTTGCAAACAGCACATAGAAAATTACTCAACAAATCTTCTCATCTTGCTGGCCGGCAGACTACCGCAATCAATCATACTTCACTGGGACTGTGTGATCCCAGCAATCCAAATTCCGTTGTCGGCTCTTTAAAATGTAAAAAGCATGCTCAACCACACCGCACATCTGGACATGTGCCCAGTTCTTCTCCAACATTTGATCCTCATTTGATGAATTACTGCTGCCATGACCACTAGAAAATGTAGGCAAACATCTCTCTTAAATGAAATTCCATTTACCACCTGCATACCATGGTTGGTAATAGTGCAAACTTACTTTTGTGAACATGGCACATTCTATAATAAGACACATTTACATAGAAAGGAGGCAATGACAATGATAAGAAAAAAAATAGCATTCCTGGCCTAGAGCATGTCATTAACAATGCCAAGGTTATGGGTTTTATTCCCGTAGAGTGCATGAGTTGATAAATAAGTATACCTTGAATGCAATTATGTCACTTCAGATAAAAGCATATAATGAAAAAGATAAACTACATAAATGTAAATGTAAAATGAAAAAAAAAAATGTAATTGTTATATTAATTATTAAATTATTAATAATCCAGTACTCCTTGAAATGTTTTTAAAATTTTAAACTTTGACTTATTGAAAAAAAAATCATTACAATTATTTAATAAACACTTAACTTGTATTACACATTCTAAGTAACTATAATAGACATTGACAGACATTATTTAGTATATGCTCCTCCAGCTAAGTCTGGTTCTTCTTGAGGCTTTTCCCCCTCCACATCTTAAACATCTAAAATTTTAGTTTTTGTCCTTGCCACAGTTTAAGACATTATGATTTTCTTTAAAGATGCTACAAAATCACATAAATTGTGAATAGTTCTGTATACAAATAAAAAATTACTGTTCTTGACTATAGAGGCACTAGAAAAATGGTATGGCCAAAGTGGATAAGCAGAATCAATACATATCATAAACATATAACCAAATGCCTTAAATGGGTTAGAAAAACTTCACAATGATGGTAGGACTGTTTTGAGTTGGTATCTTTAATCGGACATTGTTTTTGGAATCACGAACATTCTATCGATTCTTTTCCTCTCTCTTTTCTGACATCTTTGGGCTTTACAAACCAATTATATCTTCAATGTTTCTGATCAATTTGAAGCCACACACCAAATATCAATTTGAATGAAGTCTGCTTGGTTCAAAGAAACATAGGTATTTGACGTGAAATCATTTTGGGAAGTTGCCTAGTGTGACAAACTTAACAACATTTAAAACTATTTTATAAAGCTAATTTTGTATGATTACAATGCATGCCATTTTTGATATATAAATTGACTATGAAATATTTGTTAACCTTTAAAATGAGCTTGTGAAGGCAAAATGTTGTTAAAAATAGTGAAGAAATTCTTCTCTGCTGTCTTAAAATTATCCTTTACACTACATGTAGTTTGAGAGGTTCATTGTGCATGCTGTTTGATTTTATTTGTTTGTATTTCTGCTTCATTTACATCCCACTCTCTGTGTCTGTGTAAATGTGTGTCCTGTGTATTGTATTGTGTGTATCAGAGCCCTCTTTGCATGCCTCACCTCATACATCCCATGCTTGAATACTGAGTCAGCACTGGATCCTCCCAAACCAACACCCCTGTCTGCTCACCCCTCTGTCACTACCCTCCAGCCTATGGAAGAGAGACCCGCCTCCTTACTTCCTATCCCCACCCTATGTCCAGCAGAGAGGGGGTTAGGGTGTGGAGATGATGGGGAGAGTGCAACTGGACAGTCCTGCAGTACCTTGAATCCGTCAGAGGGTGCAGACACACGGCAGCTCCTCCGAACCCCCAGGGGGCAGCAGAGGACATGGCTGCACTGTCAAAGTGTTCTGCTGTGTCATAATATAGACAGTTCGAACAAATAAACCATAAATGTTGCTGTTTAATTAACACAGTTCTGTTAACTCAAATGTAAATCTAGTTTTAAGAACCTCATTAAGCAAAATTACACTTTTGAATCTTTTAGTCACTGTGTTCCCTATCAAAAGCTACTCTTGATGCTGCGTTTCAATAATGCTGATGAGAACATTCTTTGTTCGACCGATTGTGAAGCACGTGTGCCAACACGCCAAGAATTTGCTTAAATAACCTCGGTGGGTGACGTCATTTGATTACGTGCACCTGCAGGTTATAAACAGACGTGAAACAGACATACCTTCAGGTTTTCTTGTCTTCAGAGACCGCATTGTGTGTGTGCATTGATTCCAGCGTTTCACCGTTGTTTCTTTGTTTAAAAAAAAAAAAAAAGTAGACCATGTCTAGTTCGTCAGTTAGTAGATGCTTGCCACCCTCTGTTCAAGTAATCCCTGACGACGATCCACATGGTTATTGCTTGGAGTGCCTCGGGGAAGAGCACGCAGCTTGTGCCCTCGAGGACGCTGAGTGTGAGCACTGCGAGTTGGAGTAAGCCATACTCCTCGCACAAATTTGTACCCATGACGTCGATTTCTTCCACTATCGTGGGTGCTAAGACGCAGGTGACAATGCCTCAAGGGGAAGAGACTTTTGCAGGCTATCTCTCCCCTGGGAGTTCATTGTCACTCAAGAAGCCAACTCTCCCCACCAAGCCTTGCAGATTAACATCCTCGCTGGTGGGGAAGGCATTTCAAGCAGCGGGTCAGGCTGGTGCTGCCCTGCACACCATGGCCGTTCTGCTGAAGGACCTGAGCACGGGCGGGAGCATTAGTGAGGAGGCGTTTTCAGAGCTGCGCTGAGCCACGGATCTGTCTCTTTGTGCGACCAAGCAGACAGCCCGTGCCACTGGCCGTTCTATGGCTGCTATGGTTGCCATATATAGACACCTGTGGCTCAACCTCACGGGCATCAAGGATAGGGACAAGGTGTACCTCCTTGATGCCCCTGCGTCTCCTTCCGGCCTATTTGGCGACTCCATGAATACGGTCGTCAGTAGGTTCCGGGAGACACGCAGAGGCTTTTGATAAGTTTCTCCAACACCGTGCTGAGGCGTCGGGGCTGTCGCTCACCTAGCCCCAACCCAGGCCGGTGGCGAGAGTCGCAGAAGGAGAGTGTGGCGAGCCGTGTGCTCCCTCGAAGGGACTGGGGAGCGGCTTGCCGCTCTCAGCAGCCAAGCAAGAAGCCGGATCTGAGGACGAACAGGGTCGAGCGCCTGGAACCGTGGGGAGGAGCGCAAAAAGTTCCAACAGAGAGTAGAGGCTCCTTCCTAGCACCCTCAGGGGGCCACTGTACAATCTCTGCCGCCACTGGTTTTTCAGGGAGCAGCAGCCTCCAGCGAAATGTTACGTGTTCAGTTGCCTCCTGCCACGTTTCGGGACGCCGGACATCTAACATCCCCCCAACAAAGTGAAGTGTCAAAACTAGTGCCCCTTTCAGAGAAACTGGCAGCGTGGAAGCTACTGCCAAATATCTCTCCATGGGTTGAAAGGACTGTAGGGAACGGCTACAGGATTCAGTTTGCATATTGTCCTCCGCGTTTCAATGGCGTGGTCTCCACTTCTGTGAAACCGGAACGAGTGCATTTGTTGACACAGGAATTGCAAGCTCTGCTGGACAAAGGGACCATAGAACGTGTTCCCCTGCCAGACAGAGAGTCAGGCTATTACAGTCGGTATTTTCTGGTTCCCAAGAAAGATGGGGGGTTGTGTCCAATTTTAGATCTTCGCGGGTTGAGCCGCTACCTCAGAACAAATTTCAAAATGTTGACAATCAGGATGATTGTGTCTCAGATCCAACTAGGTGATTGGTTTGTGACGATCGATCTCAAGGACGCATATTTTCACATAGAGATCTTGCCACAACACAGGAAGTTCCTGAGGTTCGCTTTCGGGGGCGAAGCTTACCTGTATCGGGTTATTCCAATCGGCCTAGCCTTGTCACCCCGCACATACACAAAATTCAAGGATGCAGCTCTGGCTCCTCTACGACTCCAGGGCATCCGCATTTTAAATTACATAGACGACTGGCTGATTTTGGCTCAGTCTCAGGAGCTAGCGCTTCGACATCGGGATGTTGTCCTAGCTCATCTCGAATCTCTGGGGTTGAGACTCAATGCCAAGAAAAGCGTTCTCTCTCCTGCTCAGAGGACAATGTATTTGGGGGTTGTATGGGATTCGATCCCCATGCGGACACAGCTGTCTCCTGCACGGGTCGGATCCATTCTAAACACCCTAAAAAACATCAAGCTAGGCCAGAAAGTTACAGTTCATTACTTTCAAAGGGGTCTAGGTCTCATGGCAGCTGCATCCACGGTGATACCTTTGGGCCTCCTGCACATGAGATCATTTCAGTTATGGCTCAGAGCCAGGGGATTTCATCCAAGGGCCAATCCCCAGAGGCAAATAAGGGTTACGTACGACTTTGGGTCCCACTCTAGGCACGTGTTGTCATCGCAAGATGCTAATGACAAACGCTTCCCTCACGGGTTGGGGTGCGGTCTTAGATGGCCGTCCAGCCCAAGAGATCTGGAGAGGTCATCTTCTCGACTGGCACATCAATTGCCTCGAAATGATGGCTCTATTTCGGGCCCTGAAATACTTCCTTTAGTAGTTAAGAGGCTGCCATGTCCTAGTGCAGGTGGACAACACTGCGGTAGTTTCTTACATAAATCGCCAGGGCGGACTGCGTTCGCGCCGCCTGAACAGGCTAGCACAGCAGGTTCTGCTTTGGGCACAGGACAAGTTACTGTCCCTCAGGATGATTTACATCCCCAGGCATATGAAAGTGGGAGCAGACTTGCTGTCCAGACAAGCTGTGACATACGGGGAATGGAAACTCCACCCCGAAGTAGTCCGTCAAATCTGGGAAAAAATTTTACGAAGCAGAGGTGGACTTCTTTGCTTCGCAGGAGACAGCACAATGTCCCCTCTACTTCTCTCTGACTCCTCCAGCTCCCCTGGGTTTGGACGTGATGGCCCATACATGGCCCAGACTGCGTCTTTACACATTTCCCACGATCACTCTGCTCCCGGGAGTCCTGGCCAAAGTCCGTCAACAAGGGCTTCACCTCTTACTGATAGCGCCCCGTTGGCCGACCAGAGTGTGGTTCTCAGATCTAATATCCCTCCTCGACGGCTCACTGTGGGTGATTCCGGTCAGGAGGGATCTTCTCTCTCAGGCACAGGGGACAGTGTTTCATCCCCAGCCCAAGCTCTGGAATCTTCATGTCTGGCCTCTGAGGGGGACCAACTAAGAGATGCTGGGCTTCCAGCCGACATAGTAGAGACTATTCTAAGTGCTAGGGCTCCCTCCACTAGAAGAAGTTATGCCCTCAGATGGCGTGTTTTCGAAAGTTGGTGTATGACACACCATGCAGACCCAGTTCACTGCCAAATTGTTTCAGTGCTGGAGTTTCTGCTAGAGAAACTGTCCTCAGGCACATGTCCTGGTATTCTTAGAACCTATGTGGCCGCTATTTCGGCTTGCCATGCTCTGATTGATGGGGTTTCTGTGGGAAAGCACCCTCTAGTTGCCCGCTTCATTCGTTGCAGCCAAGCGGTTGAGGCCTCACACTAGAGCGGCAGTCCCTTCATGGGACTTAGCTGTAGTGCTCGAGGGTCTGGTTGACACCCCTTTCAAGCCACTAGAGTCAGCACCTGTCAGGTTTCTGACCCTAAAGATGGTTTTTCTAATGGCTATTACTTCTCTGAAGAGAATTGGGGATTTGCAGGCTCTGTCAGTCGCGCCATCCTGCCTAGACTTTGCCCCTGGGCTGGTCAAAGCTATTTTGCATCCTCACCCTAATTATCTTCCGAAAGTTCCATTCTCGACCATACATCCGGTCGTTCTTGAAGCCTTCTGCCCTCCGCCGTTCATGACACCGGAGCAAGAAAGACTTCATTTACTGTGTCCAGTACATGCTCTTCAGATTTACGTCCACCACACTAGCAGCTTTTCATATGCTAGGAGGGCCGCAACCGGGGGCAGCTGCCACTAAGCAAACAATGTCACATTGGGTGAGGGATGCTATTGCCCTAGCCTACGAGGTGCGTGGTCAAGCTTCGCCTCTAGGAGTTACGGCCCATTCAACCAGGGGGGTTGCATCTTCTACGGCTTTAGCAAGAGGTGTCCCCTTGCAGCAAGTGTGTGATGCGGCAGGCTGGTCCTCTCCGCACACATTTGTCAGATTCTATAGTTTAGAGGGTCTGGTCGACGCCCCTTTCGACCCACTAGAGTCAGCACCTGTCAGGTTTCTGACCCTAAAGATGGTTTTTCTAATGGCTATTATTATCTGAAGAGAGATGGGGATTTGCAGGCTCTGTCAGTCTCACCATCCTGCCTAGACTTTGCCCCTGGGCTGATCAAAGCTATTTTGCATCCTCACCCTAATTATCTTCCAAAAGTTCCATTCTCGACCATACATCCGGTGGTTCTTGAAGCCTTCTGCCCTCCGCCGTTCATGACACCGGAGCAAGAAAGACTTCATTTACTGTGTCCAGTACATGCTCTTCAGATTTACGTCCACCACACTAGCAGCTTTTCATATGCTAGGAGGGCCGCAACCGGGGGCAGCTGCCACTAAGCAAACAATGTCACATTGGGTGAGGGATGCTATTGCCCTAGCCTACGGGGTGCATGGTCAAGCTTCACATCTAGGAGTAAGCTACTCCATGCTACTCCGGGCTCGCGTGTCCTTGAGTCAACATCCCAGAGTCATGTCTGAGACCTCTTCAATGTTTGTGCACACACTACACAACCTTGGGGGGTCCAGACACTTCCAGTGCAGCGGCTTTGGTATTCTCGTTCCCATCAGCGTTATTGAAACGCAGCATCGAGTAGCTTTTGATAGGGAACGTCTCAGGTTACTTGACTGTAACACTGTTCCCTGAAAAAGCGGGAACGAGATGCTGCGCCTCAATGCCCCACTGTAGGTGTGACTGAGCGTCTCTTCAGACAAGGGTTTAACCTGAAGTTATGTCCATTTCACGTCTATTTATAACCTGCAGGTGCATGTAATCAAATGACGTCACCCACCGAGGTTATATAAGCCAATTCTTGGGTGTTCGCACACGTGCTTCACAACCGGTCGAACAAAGAATGTTCTCATCAGCGTTATTGAAACGCAGCATCTCGTTCCCCCTTTTTCAGGGAACAGGGTTACAGTCAAGTAACCCGAAACGTTCCCTTTAAAACTATCTATATGATAGTGTACTCCTAAACTTAATTCACATAAGACAGATAATTCACTTTAGACAGACATATACTTTAAAACTGTACTGTACTGTACTGTATGTCTTCTAAAGAAACGGATCAAAATGTGATGTGGAGTGCCGCCCCACTTTTTCAAGAAGCACATCAATCAGGAAAACAGGAAATAAAACTGTGCTTTGTCAAGTGATTTTAAGGAGACTGATTTTCAGGGCCGGCCCATCGCATAGGCAAAATAGGCAAATGCTAGGGGCACCCAAAAAAGTTTTTTTTTAATAATATTATTTTAGTTATTTTAGTACACCTCAAAAAGAATAAAGCATTTTCAATATAATTTTCAACAGTTAGTGTCTGTTTAGTGTCAGTTAGTGTCTTACCTTTATATACTGTATCAACTAATTTGTCTCAGCTGTTCATCTCATTTTTACTTGCTTACAGTCGTCAAGTCAGAACCTCATCTGGTCGAAATATGCTAAAGAGCACAAGTGTTAGCGGTGACATCAACGCAACTGAGCGAACAGACGGCAGCCAGTCTGACACTGCCCTGGGAACAGTCGGAACCGGAGCAAAAAAACGTCGCTCCAGTCTCAATGCTCGATTCGTGGCTATCGTGGGAAACCGTCGCAGCCGAAGCACCTCACAGATCAGTCAAACAGGTTAGTGTCTGTAGCTACTCCTTTCTGCTGATGTAACCAAGGCCAACTGGGCATTATGTGTTATATTAACCAATAATGCCACAGTGCATTTAAAGGTCCCCTGAAATGCTTAGAAACACGCAGCGTTACTCTATGTGTTGACGTCATTTTAACTGAAACAGGAAGACAGGGCGGGACATATCAAGCAGCCCCGCCCCTTTTTAAAATAGCCAATAGCGTTCGTTTATATCACAGCTTGGGCTAAAGCCGTTCAGAGCCGTTGAGCTGCGTAAAGCCGCATTTGACAGGGTATGCCAGCCACAATCTCATCCATATTGCTATAAAATATAGCATTCTGTATAGAATTCAAATAGCTCCGATACATTTTGTGGTCTGCGCCGGCTCGCGCATGTGATCCGCTCCGTGCTATCGTGTCTCTGGACCGGAGCAGAGTGTGTGTGCGGTGCGGTGGTTAGCGTGACACAGCGCAAAACCAGACTTCTTTTTTTCTCAATGGAAAGCATATTTACACTGTTTGAATCGTTCCCTGTCCCCTATATAGTGCACTACGTGCCATTCACTGTACAGAAAATACTAATTCTGTGGACAAGTGACCGATTTCAGCCACGGCTTCAGCGTCTATTTTATAGTGTAGGGGGCGGGCGCTTCAGATTCTAGAGAGCATTTGATTGGACAGAAAGTTTGATGAGAAGCTGAAGTACGATGTGACGTCAAAAAAATCGTTGAGCCGTTTTGGCGGAAGTGACGAACTGCAAGCTTTGAATGCTTATATCTTCTAAATGCGAATTTTGTCACTGTTTTGGAGCACATTGCCTTATAGAAAACCTCAAGACTAACATATTGATACTAACACCCAAAAAACTTTAATTTTGATTTCATGGGGACTTTAAATCTAAAAAAAAAAAACTCATCCTGTTATTTTATTCCCTATTTAAATTTTTATGTGAATTAAAAATGAGATTTTATTTATTTTTAAGCACAATAATTAAAACAAATGTAACACATTTGTAAACTTTAGAATTTCTACTTGATCTGACTCAGAGAAATTTCTTTGTATTGGTCTAACCTAATGTGGTCAGGCTGATTTAGTCACATAAAATCAAATTTTTGACACAACATATGCTCATTGAAACAATTTGCCTCTACCTACATTTTTGTTTCCAAAAACATGCCTATAAATATAATTCACTGCATTTTCCAGCTGAAATAAACACTAGTGGTAGTAAAACACCAATAACTATTCCTTTTCAAACTTATGACAACAGGGGTAGATTAAATAAGACTTATTTTCACATGGTTCCTTGCACAATACAATGTTATGACCTCAAAACATTTTTACCATTGTGCATGATTTGTAATCTAATACATTTTCAGAAAATCAACTCGATATGTATGTAGTAAACTTAGCAATCAAGGACTAGACCCGTGAAACACGTCACGATAAAAGAGCTCGAAGTCTTGTAGAAGCCAGTGATAATGGCATGGTTGCCTTAGCAAATGTGTTTTTATCTCACATTTTCTTTTGATAACGCTGTTGGTTAGGTTTATTGTACTTTCAAAAGCAATAAAGCATTAACCTTTTAGCGCCAATCACTGGACAACATACATATAATAACCAACATAAAAAAAAATGTTGCCACATTCACATTCATCTGTTTCGGAAAAAAATTGAACACGCTTTTATCACCAATTTTTATTGCACATTTCAGTCTGAAAGTGTTGTGAAATGTGCAAGAAGCAATGTAATATAATTTGCAGAAATGACAGAATAGGCGCATTTTGGCCAATGAGCCTTGGAAACCAGTTCATATAAATGTTTTCAAGATTTCTATTTTAAGTATTATTGCTAGACAACACAAGAGGTCACTCAGTGTTTATGGCACTGCATTTTAAGCCTACCTTTCCTGTTTCACTTATGCTGAATTCAGAATTGCGTACAAGCATACTACTCCTACTATTTCTGCCATATAACAATACGGTGAAAATAGTAAGAGTAGTAAGAGAGTGTGTGGTTCCGAATTCAGCATTTGTCTTGATTAGTATCTTGCTACGAGTTCAAGTTTATGCTTTAGCTATGGTTTGTCCTCATCAAACATGAACAGCGTCTTTTCAAAAGGGCACCTGTGGCCATTTTAGTGCTTTCAGATGTCAGGACTTACTCTGCATTGTTTGGTATAATAAGATTTTTCATCAGGCGACTCTTGTCACTGCCACAGAGCTTGTTCCTTTTGAAAAAGTCTTGAAAGCACATTAGAGGAGTCTAAGTCCTCCGGGGGAACTGCATTTTGTTCTCTCTGTTTTATGTAAGCAGACAAAAAGGGATTCAGGATGAGGAGACATGCCCTTGTTTTTAAGAGAGATAAAGGGGGGTGGTTAATGCAGTACAGTTTGCGTCCATCCCGGTGGGAGCTACAAGCACTGTCAAATTATTTTGCTGTGTGCTTTTAACATCAAAAAGGATGTAGTGTAGTGAAGAGATAGTGTGCAGCTTGACCAGTATTGTTTAGAGAGGACATTGATCCAACTTTTTAAAACTTTATCACAGAAAATCATGTGAGAGAGAGATACTGATTTCTCCGTTTTTTTCCTCTAAAATGAATGATACAAACTACTCTTAAAAGTCTCTTTTCCTGATTGTTTGTGAAATCTGTCCATCTTCAGAGGCATCCAATAAGAAGTCAAAGGGCAGTCAAGGGACGATCCAGCGCAGTCAGGAGACGGGAATGGCTGTGGAATTGCAGAGGAATATGAGTCGTCAACCCAGCCGTGAATCCAACAATGGAAGCATGAACAGCTACAACTCAGAGGGCAGGTAAGTTTCCTTGTGCTTTATTAGTAATCAAATCTGGCATACATTTAAATATATGCAGGAATTCCCCCATGAGAATTTTTTTTTTTTGTATATTGCACTGCATTGGTGATGCATTTTTCCGAACATCTGTTGCATATTCTCTAAAACAACATGGAAACATTTGTTCTTGTTATCATTTCATACCAATAGCCAGTTCTTGTATGTACATGGCTGTCCTAAAATATGGGTCATTTGGAGCAATTTCCTGTTTCTGTATTTATAATGATCCAACATAATTTTACATTTTTCATATTTTCCCCATCTTAAACCAAGATTATTATTGTCTAGAGATAGCAGCCTCCTTAAGTGTCCTTCCTGTTACCATGACAAACGTCAGTCAGGCATTGCCATTATGCCATTAAAAAAAAAAGCTGTTCAGTTTGTGGGAACAAAATGCCTGCATACAAACCTACAATACTTTGGGTACATTGATCATTAAAACAAGACCGATTAAACATTGATTTTTTTCTCTCCAAAACTCTCAGATCTGATTAATAAAGGCTGGAATACACTACATGATTTTTGCCCCGATTTTCCCCAGATTTACAGTTTAGATAAGTCGATGCTAGTTGCCGAAAGTCAGAGCCAGTCTGCAGAGTGGAGTTGACAGATTCCGTAGAAAATTGAGTAGTGTATGATGGTCACAGACTTTTTTTTTTAGAAACAGACAGTTTTAGAACACGTTGTTTTCACATGTTGTTTCATCTCCTGAACATTTCTGCGTGAGTTTGTTGTGATCAGAACAACTTGAAAGTCTGGTAGTGAATGATCCTCAGTCATTTAGTGTATGATGGCCAGTTTTCCTTTGTCACTATTCACAAAGTCGCTAAGTGTATGATGCCTAGTGTTTTAAAAATCTATTCAGATTTTAAAAGTCATGTAGTGTATTCCATCCTTAAATTTCCTTAAAAAGTTAGAAAGAACAACACCTGCAGTATTTCTTATCAATGTTTGTTTTGGTCAGTCCAATCTTCCCAGCAGTTCGAGTCGAGACTCAATTCAGTGACTTCCTGGATGGACTGGGCCCTGCTCAATTAGTTGGTCGACAAACCCTTGCCACACCAGCAATTGGTAAGATTTTATTTTTTTGTGAAGTTTTTAAATTTTTTTCTAAAAACTCTTTCTCCCTTGTAGCATACTATCCTTTCCCATTTGCTGTAAGTTGTTTACAAATCTTAATTCATTATACATAATTATATATGCTATTGATTGTGATTAATTTTATGAATTTAATTTAATTAATTGATTGCATATATAAATATTTGTTGAAAAAAGGCACCAATGTAATTTCAGACATTATATTATTGAGGTAGATGAATAGAAAGAATTTAGAATTTAGTTTTGTTGTATTATTATTTCTGTACTTGTAATTATACTAAATACATGAAATTTACATCCCTAATTCACTTACATATTTCAGTACAAAATAAGAAAAATAACTGCTTATGGAAACCGCAGTATGTCAATAATGTTTTTTGCATGAACCAGTTGAGTAAATGCATTAAGCAAATGTACCATTTAAATAAAATTTATATTTTTAGTAGTTGGTTTTACTTGCATATTCTGTGATATCCAGGTGACATTCAGATTGGCATGGTGAATAAGAAAGGCCAGCTGGAGGTGGAGGTGATAAGAGCACGAGGTCTCATCCAAAAACCAGGGTCCAAATCACTCCCCGGTGAGTCACTTCTGCTCTATTCTGAACTCACTGCATGTGATTCAAGCTCCATATGTATCTTATTACTCAGCCAGCATATAACTCATCAAGCAGTTCTAGCTGATACAAAAAGCAGTCAGATTTATCAGCGCTAGTCTACTGACTAATGTCAGTATACATTGTTAATATCTGCCTAATTTGATTCATTCTTTACATAGCTCCATATGTCAAAGTCTATCTTCTACACAACGGGGCGTATGTAGCTAAGAAGAAGACAAAAATTGCACGCAAGACACTCGACCCGCTGTACCAGCAAACGCTGCAGTTTGAAGAAAGTCCACAGGGTAAAGTGTTACAAGTGAGTCATGTGGTTTATTGGTCTTTTTTCAACATGTAGTTTCAATCCAGTTGATGAGGCAGCTGAACGAGACTTCTGTGAGAAAATGGCATTGAAGGGCTGCGTGTCTAGTTTAAATGGATCACATTCGTGGGATTAGATATTATTAACTTTGATTATGTGACCTGAGAGGGCCATCCACTGATGAATCTGTTGATTTTCATCCTATTAGGTAATTGTCTGGGGAGATTATGGGCGAATGGACCACAAATCCTTCATGGGAGTTGCACAAATCCTACTAGAGGAGCTGGACCTCTCCAGCAATGTGATTGGCTGGTACAAACTTTTCCCGCCTTCTTCCCTAGTCGACCCAACTCTTGCCTCTCTAACTCGACGTGCTTCTCAGTCATCCCTGGACAGTTCACCGGCACCTGCGGGGGTTCGATCGTAGTGGACTAATAATATAAAGCACAGTCTGAAAGACAACGGAACAACAATAAGAGCCAGGCAGGAAATGCGATGAAATAACACAAACCTTTGTTCAAATCTGACAATCACTTCTGTGACATTGTTTTTGTTTTCCTCTTTGTGGGTAGCCCGTGTTCTGCCAAATTTGTTTGTCCTAAACGAAGTCATTTGTTTCTCTCACTGTTTGTTGCGTGAGACTTAGGGCTCTCTACACTAGCATGTGGGAAGCACCGCTTTAGGGCAACATAGAAAGCAGGGTGATATTCAGTCAAGTCTTCATTGAAATCTACATTAGCTAGGTTTTAACAGAGCATCAGAATGTATCAACCCAAAAACAAAGGTGACCTCTGACCAAGGGATTGTGGGGCTTCAGTCGAGGCCCTGTCTAAACCCTGTTTGTACTGATAGTGAACGGTCAGGAACTTGAAAGACGTAGGGCGTCCCCTGGGGAGGTTGTCTGGAAGGACAGGGCCTTTCTTGGTGCCTAAACCTGGAGGACCCAAAGCCATGGTCTATTTCCTCCAAAAAGTACCTCTGTTCTCAAAGTTTGTGACAGCTAACGGAGGCCGCTCTCGTCTAGAATCTTTTTTTTATTTATTTAGCTTTTTTTAACATCTCTAGCACGTTTTACGATAAACAAGAGGTTTGTGTTGTCCAGTGTACTGTGAAAATGACAGGAAATGCTAAAAAAAAGAAATCGAAGACAAAGTATCTGGAAAAATACACATTTCTTTGCACATTTTTATTTACTTTTATTAACTGAAACTATTACATTAATCTACAGTACGTTGCAATACAACATCTTATCCAGTGAACTGAATTCGATTTTTAGATATTTACACTTATCATTAAATGCTATTAAAAAGTAGATATTTAGTTCATGAAAAACACCATGTACCAAGATAAACATATTTGTGTACTTGTACATTTTCCAATTTACGGTCTTTGGTAAAGGAAATCTATACAATCATGTTTTCATCTGTCGAGTAAATCTTGATACATAGAGTTTTTCGGACACTAAACTAACTTTTTAACTTTGTTTGATGGTAAGTGTTTGTGTAGATGCATATTTCTCTTTTTAGTATATGTGGTTTAGCAAAAGCCACTTTCAACTTTTATTGTATCACTCTGAGGTCACACGATTGGCCCAAGCCCTTGCACATAAAGCATAAAGCACAAAAGCTTGATTTTCAAATTTAAAAAATCGGATTAAAAAATATCTAAAAAATAAAATCAAGCCAACTAGCTTGTTAATTTCATTTCTACTTTGTGTACTTTACAGAAAAGAGAGAAAAGAGTCGTGCAAATGCAAATTCCTCTTGTGTGTCTCTGTAAATGTTGAAGTGACCAATCTGATTTTTCCATCACGAGCATAAACACCAATCATCTATCAGGCCACTGGCCCCTCCCTCCAGTGCAGTGGAGCAGCATGACTCAGATCAGTTCCCAGCTGCATGCACATTTTTGTAAAACAGACTACACAAATGTTAAAAAGTAACAGAAATAGATATGTGATAGTTCAACATACTGTAGGCCAGCTTGTATGTTGCATGTACCTGTACAGTTTGCTTGTACTTGAATATAAGAGATAAACCAAGAAAATGAAGCCATTTGCTTTCACTCAGACTTTTCAGATCAGCTAAAAAACTAGTTCATGTCCTCCATCCGGTGCTGAATGTTGGAACATTTTTTTTTTCTTTTTTCAAGTTTTTGATTATTGCTTTTTTGTCTTTTATATCCCTTAAGGGAAAATGTGCTGTACTGTAACACTGAACAAAAACTAACCTCCCTCATGTTTTACACATTTTACTGTATCATAATTTACCTCAAAACCACAGAAAATAACCTAGAAAATGTGTATACATCCCATCAAGTTATTCAAGAGTATACCAATATCAAAACAGGAAATGTCAAAAATATATCATACATACATAACAATATCCATAATAAATATAAATGTAGATGCACAGAGACTTATTAGCACATGTGTTGTAAATATGAGATGACCATGTGGTTAAGCCATATTTGCAAAGGGGCCAAGGCTTAATTTTAAGAACAACCATCCCAATATAAGGGACCGCTGAGCGGACACCTTTCTTATCATATGGGTCCAAATCTAGAGCTCTCACTGTCACTTTTAGAGGGCTGAACCACTCCGCTCTAAAGCTGTAGCCAGATCAACATTTTCTCTGTGTTTTCGAGCCAAATTCTTCACCTCTGCTATCAGAAAATTTTGATTGTTTTTCTTCATGAGAGACAGGAGTTTATTTTACTTGATCAGTTCTTGGGTAGAGGGGAAAAACAATGCTGACTGTTTACAACTTCTAGTATGTGTTCCACTGAGATTATGAAAAAGAAAAAGTATTCACTGCAACATTTCTGTTTGTATACAGGTGTGGCTCATACGATGTGTATGTTTTATATTTAAAAAAAAAAAAAAAAAAAAAAAGAAAAAAAGATTGTCACAAAAGAGAAGTGACAGTGGTGATTGATCATGAAAATAATTCCATAACATTTCCTCAAAATGAAAAGGTTATTTTATTTTTACCATATTTTATTTTATTTCTAAATTTATTTTATTTTAAAAAAGAGCCTAATTTTTCTTGTTTTTTGAGAAGCCCTTTTCTAACTGGTGGCAACTTGTCTGATTTGTTAGACTGCAATTTCCACAGTGTTTTTAAGTTCAAACTATATTTTAATTGAGTACGATGTTTATGTTTTTTATTTAAAAAAAAAAAAAAAAAAAAAAAGGAAAAAAGTTCATTTTTATTATTTCCAAATAAAAAAAAGTGTGTGAAAGAAATTTCAACCCGATGTTTGTTCTTTTCTTTTACTGTACATGGAACTTTTTATTCATCAACAGTGATTAGGCAAAATAAATAAAAAAAAAATTGCAGAGATAGTAAAGTCTCATATGACATCATCCAATTTACAGCAGTATTATGGGAAGTTAATGTATATCGGAGACTGGCTAGTTGTCTCACATTTTGCTCAATAATGGGACATGTTGTCACATATGTGTTAAGAATCTGCCATTAATTTTTATATCATCCACCTTATTTTGCAACGTGGAATGTTTATTTCTTATTTTGCAATGTGGAAGCGTATATAGCTAATAATAACTAGAATAATAAAAATGGCAGTAAAAGGTTCAACTATTTCCTCTACAAACCAGTGTATTTATAGTTATGACAATACATTCAAATATTATTTTAAGAAATACCAGTTAATGTCAAGCAGCATATCAAGCTTTTTACAGCTAAAAATAACTCAGAAGCCTCACACATTCAAGAGCCCAGTCTTATGTTAAAAATAAAGTGGATCAGAGCTATGTTTTTTTTTCGGTAACACTTTATTTTAGGGTCTCTTAACTAGTTGCTTATTAGCATGCATATTACTAGAATATTAGCCATTTATTAGTACTAATTAAGCACAAATGAATGCCTTATTCTACGTCCCTAAACCTACCCAATACCTAAACTTAACAACTACCTTACTAACTATTAATAAGCAGCAAATTAGGAATTTATTGAGGGAAAAGTCGTAGTTAATAGTGAATAAGTGTTCCCTATTCTAAAGTGTTACCCTTTTTTGTAGAATTTAAATGGGTATAAAACATCACAGGTGTCATTCGTGGATGGGACATGTCCCAGTCGGTTCAGTTGCCACCACTTTTTGAGAGGCACTGAGAAAAATAGCTTGACAAGGACATGTAGGCCTTAGCAGTCATTCGTCATAGTTTAATTCATATATGTAACACAAAACACTTCTGCGCCATCCAGAACATCAGACGCCCGATTTATAAACCTTACCACGCACATATCATGATATATCATGATTATAAAAAGAAAATTAGGCTACGTAAATTTGTCCGCACAGACTACAAACTCTGGACCACGAATGCTTTCCATTTACACACACACACAGATCAAATATGCCACATGAAATTATCCAGAAATGTAAAAATTACATGGAGTTAAACTGTAAATAGCACAGCTTTTGCATTATTTTGCATTAAACGTTGTAATAGCACTTTTGACCCAAACTTTACAGTTACTGAAATATATTTATTATATATTTGTGACAACTTACCTAGGTCTGCTCTATTGTCATACCAATGATGATTGAATGGTGCCGCTCGAGTTATCCTTACAGTCACCAGCAGAAGGCAGACGTTTGTTAGAATCTTCTTCAGAGAATCAGCTCGTGAAATTGCACAGTGGAGAATCATGAACTTTTTGCAATACTCAGACGTAAGACGAATTATGCAATTATGAAGCATCTGGGTTGCCTTCGTTTTAAATCATACATTTTAGAGTTAATTAATAGCAAGAACTAGCCTACCTTTTGATTCATTCTAAAATCAAGAACCGTATGCCCACGTCAGGATACTTAAAACAGAGATACAGGTAGCCAGATTAATGTAGCCTACTTACCATTAAAAATGATCAACAAACTCCGCCTTAAGCAAAAAGTAACTATATGCAATTCACTTAAATTATATTGTCTCCTGCCGTCTATTGCAGTGCAACATGATTGCATGCCCTTCTCTGTTGCCTCGCGAGCTCACGTCACAGCAATTAGCCTGATACGTGTCTCTGTGTTCAGCCAGTGACCCCAGTGCTCCACTCATGACTGATGGCAAGTGATGGTGCGGGTTGCAGCAACAGAGGTCGTGAAATTCAGAAGTGGTTTCCATTCTGGACTTTACTGGATCATTTTCTCAAGTTTATCACCATAAAAATCGCATAAGAGAGTGAGTCTCGTTAACACCAGTCCTGTAGCACGCAGATGGTGAAGTGTATATTTCTATTCTTAGCCCTTGATGAGTCAGAATGAATGGGAGTCTGAGGGTAATTATTCCTCTAATGTAGACGATTGGAACTCCATCGCATACTGTTTTCATACATGCTGGATTCTGAGTCATGGGATATAAGGTTGAGAAGCAAATGGAATGCAGCCCATGATGAGCCAAGTGTAAATGATAATTTTTCAGAAAAAAAATATGCAAGAAGTGGGAAACGTAGGCTACTTATTTGGAGAATTACAGAAGGTGCGAAGATTGTGATGCTGAGTCCTGAAACAATGTGAAATGCTTTTTGGTATTAAACAAACAAATAAATAATCTGAACAATTGAATTTGGTTTCACCATCCTGGTAACGCTCGTTTACTGGTTAATTATTTAGTAGGCCTATGGAACAAATGTTGCTCATTGCTGCAGCACACAAGATGCTCACTCATACTGATCGCAAGAAGGCGCTTTGAACCGAACTGAAGAGGAAGCACAGTGGTCGAGGGAAGAACACAAAGCCACCATTTCCCCATCAGTGACAGTGGCATGGGATTCATGACGGAATCTCTCAACTTAAGTTTGTGTGACGCGCCTGTATTGCAGTCTGTTCGACCTTTTGTCATATTTGCCAGTTGGTCTGCAGCTAATTACACTCTAAAAAATGCCGGGTTGTTTCAACCCAACTTTAGGTCAAATATGGACTAACCCAACCGTTGGGTTAAATTTTTACATTACATTTTTAACCCAAAAGTTGGGTTAGTCCATATTTGACCCAAAGTTGGGTTGAAACAACCCAGCATTTTTTAGAGTGTACATTTATTTATTTCTCTTGAGCATTGGTTGAGCAGGGACAGTTAAACTTAAGAGCGCCTAATTTGATAATCAAATAGACTCAAATTGCTCTTTTGCATATTACTAATGTCGGAGTTCCCGAAGATATGATGAATAATGTAGTCCAATATTTTTTTCTTCTCACAGATGGATCGTTATGATACAGCAGGAGATCTACAGAGTTTAACTGTAGGGGAGGGCTAGCATGCCCACACAGAAAACACAGTGTTCGTGTGGATTTTATTTTGGGTTGAGTCACATGGGCTGTCTGACAGTTGTTACTACGGAGGCTCTGAATAAATGGGAAAATGTGATAGCCTAAATGTTTAGCAGTGCCTTTATTTTCAAAGGAAACTTTTAATAGAGATGACATTCTAACAATATCTATTGCCAATTTATTCAGCGTGTGAATTATGCAAATTACTTATTCTGCGAATTTCTATAGATAGGCCTATTCATGGATTCAATTTGTTGAGCTCTCGCCAAATATCTTTTGAACTGTTGGGCTTTTAATAAAGTTTGTTTATTACTACTACTACTACTGTTGTTGTTTTCCAAATGAATCCGGAAGGCGACATAAATACACTGTTGCTATGGTTTCCTCCTTAATAAAAAACTTTGTAAGACCCCCATCCAACAATTTGATTTGACATCATTTGAGAGGTTAAAGCTTGACTAGTACAGCTTCTCTTAATGCAAACCGGAGTTATTATTAATTAATTGTTTTGCTTGGCTTTTAACGCGATGATTCCTGAAAGGAAACCTTGGATTGTGTCGCTGGGGAACTCGATATCAGTTTAACTTTAGGAACTACGGTTTCAAGAACGAGTTGTTATGCAAATAAACATTTTACTATGTAAACACGTGCATGAACCCACAACCGTCAGCTCCCAGCCGGGGAAACGACAAAGAAAATGACACAGAACTTCTCATGTCTACGTCATTATTTATTGAATTATTACCAGAAATGTGAGCCTACCGCAGACTCACGTCGGAGAAGATAGCGGGTGCTGACTGGGATCATTTACAAGAATATTACCGAAACGCTTTATATGTGCTACAGCATGAGCACGCAGAATGGCACAGTTGATTTCCTGTGCGCAGTAACGCCAAGCGTGCGCGTGGAGCGACATCAAAAGCGCGCGCTGGAGTAACACGAGCTGTACAAGTACGACTCATCTGCGGTCACATAAAGTCACTTTGACGGGCTCTTCTCGTGGGTCAGCGCCAGCAGTGACTTTATACACCTCTGAAGTGTGTCCATACCAGGAGCGAAGAAAGTGGCGTTCGCTCGTCACAGCCGGAGGTAAATTGTATATTTGGAGTCTTTTTAACATTTCGCGTTGGTAATTTCTTGGCTCTCCCCTCGCATCTATCAGAGATATAGCAATACGCATGCCACGCGTGTTTGGGTCCGCGTTGGTGATGCCATGCCCCGCAACCACAGCGGAGATGAGGTCGGCTCCGGCCTCTGGATGAACACCTCTCCGGGGCACCACGCCGAAAGTCACGGATTGCATAATGTGGAGTGTGGTAATAGGATGAAGAACAATTGTTCACGGCCGGGGGACGGACTGTTGTCCGCATCTCATGCCGGCGCAGGTGCACCGGGCACGGAAAGAGACCGGGGGAAGCAGGGCGCTCGGCTGAGTCTGCTCGGGAAGCCTCTGGTGTACGGCGCGCAAAGCGGCCGGAGAAACGCGCGCTACCGGAGGATTCAGAACTACCTGTACAACGTGCTGGAGAGACCAAGATCCTGGGCTTTTATCTACCACGCCTTTGTGTAAGTACCGCGTTTATACATTCACA